GAACAATCCTCGCAGCTGTGTTTTGCAGTACTTGGATTTTATTCATCAGGATTACATTGTTTTTGTCTCCCCATGTAACATCCGCATAGTCTAATAACGGTGTTATGGTCGTCTTAACAAAAAGTTCTCTGATGTTCCTCGGAAGAAAACACTTAATTCTTCGTAATAAACCCAATCTTTGCGAGACTTTGGCACAGAGGTGTTCTACATGGTCTGACCAAGTCAGATTCTCATTTATTCTCATTTACAACATTAACTAAGCGAAAAAGACTGACCAGCCTCTATTTATATGCAGTTATCAACGATACACAAGATTGACACTGATACTGATACAACACATACTCGGATCAATATATGATAATTTACAAAGCGGTTACCAAGGCACTGTAAAATTGAAGATTCATTTTTGGTCCAGTTTCCATCATTCCCACACAGAATCGAGCTAACTCCTCCGTTCCCAGAGAAACCATGTCTGCATTCGAAAGAGCAGACAGTTCCACTATCTGGGGAAAATGTACACATGTGCGGGTAAATAAAACCATTCTGAGGCGCACTTAGTGAAGAACAGGAACGTACTGAAAAGAAAATTAGGACATAAGAAAATAAATTAATAAAGTAATTAATCAATTAATTAAATAAACTAATTAATTAATAGTTGTTTCAAGTCTTTAAAATAGTTTACAATCACACCGATGTTAATGAGTTTTCTCAAATGATAATAATTTACGCGAAAACTCTGAAATATTCACTGCAATGGACCCATTAGCCTTTTAAGTCCCAAGCTGAAACGTTAGATTTTCTAATGTCATTTGGTGGTAAATCGTGACAATATCACTTAGTTGGTGATTTCGTTTACTTTCGTCACGTCCTACGTTATTTGCATTGTAACCAGAATTAGATTTTGATCACTCCATAGGATTAATGGGGCTTTTCCAATGAAAGTGATTTTTGTATCATTTTGCAAAATGCAGTCACGTGTCTCAGTAACCAGTAACTGATCCTCGGGAAGGTAATAAACTAATAAACAAAAAAAAAAAAGGGAAAGCTATGCAGAGGGAAGGTTTTGACGGTTGTCAATGGCAACACTGATTAGTTTAGACTACTGTTTCCAAGATATGGAAATCTGAGACGTAGCTCCTTTACGATACTAATCTAAATAGGTTTGGGAATTACAAATTTAACGGGCTTAAGTTAGGAAGTTAAAGTTTGATGCAAAAAGGGAACATAACGTTTACGAACTACTGGTCGCTTACTTTTACAGGTCGGAATCGATCCGTTCCAGTACCCGGTAAGATGGCCCGGTTTGTGAAGGCAGGTGAGGATCTCGGATCCCAACAAGTTATATCCATCTTTGCATCTCATTTGACATGTGCAGCCGAAGCTGTTGTCACAGTCTCCCACTAGAAAGCCGTTTAATGGAGGAAACAATGTTTGGCATCGCACAACTGTAGAACAAATTACAAAACAACACATGTAACAGCGAGTCTTTCTAACTCGAAAATGGTGATGTCTGGAAATGCCCTTATGGTACAATATTGACCTGCATACTGTTTAGAAGACTCGCGCACACAGAGAGACAATTCGTATTTAATGTGACTTAGTGTGTCGCTGATGGTCGAAAAACAAAAAGTTATGGCCGGTGTTTCCCGAGGAGAGATCTGCCACAAAATAATGCTCAATCTAAATGCCTACTTAGTTGCCAGCTACATCTATATTGAAAACTATCGCAAAAAGCCTTCCTTACGCGGAATGTTTTGGTTAATAATAAGCAATAGCAATTTGTTTTGCAGGGAGATCTATCATTACTTAGTAAAAAGCTTACTTTCGACCGTGACGTGGAATTTGCAGATTCTGTAATTTCCTGCTGCGTCACTTGCGTTGTAAATGACCTCATGTCGTCCTTCGTAGAACTTGTTCCCGGAAGGAACACCATGTTTCGTAACATTGGTTGCCATGCCAGAGTTATCTGTGGCAACCACTACAGGCCAGTTTACAGTGGTATAGTTTTTAGCCCTGTCTGCGTACCTTCTGATGTCACTACTGGGACAAGTACCGCCGAACAAGGGTTTTTCCACATCTGCAAGTATTGGAATAATAAAAGAGAAATCTTATTTCGGAGCTCATTAAATATTTCTCTTCCACGAGATTCAAGTTTTAGATAAATACCTAGGTAAGTAAAATTGAAACTGTTCCTCATCATGCCCGACGTAGCGCCCCCAGAAACAGAGAATTGACTTTTTTTTCTATTCTTTTAATATAAACTAACCTTTGCAAAACGTAGTGGTGTTTCCTGACCATTGACCGTCGCTAAGGCAGGTCACTATTGGCTCTCCATGCAGTCTATAGCCTTGGGGACATGAAAAGTGACATGTAGTACCGTATTCAGGATAAATTCTGCAAGAGTCGGGTGTCACCTGACCATCTGATGGAGCTTCAAGGGACTTACAATGGACAACTATAGAAAATAAAAACAAAACAATAGTTTTACTAATAAACGATTTAGGCATTTCCTCTCGTCAACATCATCCTTATAAACTACGTTCAGTGTGCAGTAGACTGGCATCATTATGTGACTCAGAAGAACAGGATTTTAAGGGTCAATAAAGCTTTGTCCTTTTACACATTCGCGAGCATTTTGGTAAACACCAAGACCAAAAAAGACCACTTGGGAAAATAATACCCGTTACACTCATGCAGTGGTATAAATACGCTTTGTGGAAACAAAAAAGTGATAAGTGATCCCTATTCATGTTGCTTCCCTTACCTTGACAATGCGGTTTTTCTCCAGACCAGGTACCATTTGCTTGACAGACCCTCTCAGTCGAGCCGTTAACCAGGCGATAGCCACGGACGCAGTACAGAAGACATTTGTCACCAAAGACGTTTTGCAAGGAACCGCCTCCGCAACCAGACAGTATGCTGTTTGGAGGGGGAACGAGTCGATCACACTTGGCGACTAAGGAAAGACAATTGAATGCTGACTTTAATTTGTGATAATAGTTTTGGTGGGAAGAGATGGAAAGATCGACTCGTAAAGCTTTCAATGAAGCATTTCTTTTTACAAATATGCAGTCAGAATCTTGTTTTTATAAGCTTTACCCATTATTATTATTATGACATGAAAATGTGGATTATGACATTAACTTAAGCATTATTTTACTTACGTTCACACTTTGTCTCATTCCCAGTCCAGACACCAACCGACGTAATCGGATCCTTCTCGCAGATTCTGCGGTCAGAGCCATTCATTGCATGGCCATCACGGCAAGCGAAGGAGCATTCTGATCCATACTGATTGTCTTTGGTACACTGTAAGGAGCCTCCAGCTGGAGCATACAATTTAGGCAGGCATCGGACAACTAGAAGGAGATGACAAAACAGCAAAATTAGCACGAAAATTCGAATTTTAGAACGTTAGTCCTTTTTTTTTTTTTTCTCAATACATCTTTCACTTTATCGGTAGTTATAGTTTTTCAAATGTAAGACCCTCTAAGAACTTGACGTTTTGCAACGTTTAAGCTCGACAGGTTTCTGCATTTTAGTAATGTAGCACGTTTGAATTTCCTAGTTTATGATTTGCGTGACATTAAAATGGCGGCCCATAAAGTCTTTCGTGTGGGTCAAAAGCTGAGTTATCGATTAAGTTATTGGTACCCGAACGGTTCTTCCACTAGACGAAGTATCAATTTCAATCTGTTGGAACATTACAGTAATGCATTTTCGTGTAAATACGCAAAACCAAGAATTACAAATGTTTCTGTTCCTTTGTTCATGTCTGTGCCCCTCCGAGGGACTCCAACATGGCGTCTCGCATTAAGGCTTTATAAATTTGGGTGAAACACTCCTCCGAATAACTCGCGAATAAACACTGCGCGGACTTAAAAATCTTAGCGAGGCTGTTTAGATATCAATCAGCTATCATATACCAGATTCTTGAGTTAATATATTCTGGTGGTTACGATTTTTAACTTTAATGGCGTTACAGAGTAACCAGCAACGTATAACTACGCCTCAGAAAAATAGAGCCACGAACAACGACGACGAAGATGCAAATGGGTTCCATGCTTTGCATGCTATAGTGCGAGTGGCTGCGTGGCATTTTGAGATAAAAGCAAAGAAAAAAAAAACTTTTATGCATCCTTTGTAAAAATTGACATATTTTAGGACTTCGTCATGGACAAAGAAAATGTCTAATGATTCGGGGTCAAATTTCTTTGGGTAATTAATGGTGTGGTACCCTTCCGGTATTTACGGTTGATGTTTTTGTAGCTCGATCAGAGGCGTTCTTGCTAATTCGTTAATAATAGGGTGGACAGAGAGCGCTTTCCTATCAAATAAACCTAAAATAAGGCCATGTTTATGAAAAATTCAATTTCTTGAAAATACAAGAGTTGAGACCCTTGAACACTTGTCAAAAACATTTTGAAACGATCTTGCAGAATTTTCCTCTAGATGACTGTGAAATTCAAGGGAGCTACACAGTGGAATAATGTTTTTCTACGTAGCAACGGCCACAGCGACGGTTGTTAACAATCAGAAAGTGACCAAAGATATAAACGAGTGTCAACAACTATAAACGAAAGCTTGTAGAAAAGCTCTTACGACATGCAGAACTCGATAAATGTAATTACTTTTGAAATGTGTTGCCTGAATCACCATCACAGTACAGGCTCATTAATTTCCCTTCCAAAAAGTTATATTTCCTACTTCTGCAAGCTTTCCACTTCCCCGATATGCAATCTGCAAACACCCTTCCACTCCCCACCCCCCCCCCCCCCTCTTGATTTCTGGCTTTTTAAATGCTTAATCCATCGTGTAACAAAATTTCAATGCATTTTTCCAGGAGCCATAATCGGGGACGGAGACCGTAAGCGCGCGCCATTTCAAGTATTGGGGTTGTCCCCATGATATGGGACAATAATTCTATTTTTAGAAC